TATATATGTATATATGTATCTATGTATGTATCTATGTATCTATCTATCTATCTATCTATCTATCTATCTATCTATCTATCTCGTTCTTTCTCTCACCCTCTCGCTCTTTCTTTCTTTCTTTCTTTCTCCCCTGTCCCTCTCTGTGTGCGTCCGTGCGCGCGCGCGTGTTTAAGATTATGCAGAACCATTTATCCACAATTATCAGTTTCAGTTATTTCGTTATATTTTTATTTCATTCAATTAACAGAACCATTAACGTGCAGCGATCCAATGACATCGTCAACGTTTCACAGCTGTGAAACGCAAATGTTTCCAAGTAACAACGGGCAAGTTTACAGCGCGTTATTTTAATTTTAAAAATTTAAAAATTAAACAATTCTCTATTAACGAATTTCATCGTGAATTTAACTAACACAGCAAAACTCTTCGCAAAGCGCAAAGGTTGTCTAAACAACGCTGACATATACGCGCTATCGCCGCCGTCCGTTCTTCAACCAGGTTGTCTAAACAATACTGACATATCCGTTCCATCTCCGCCGTCACTTCTCCGCCGCTGCTGCTGCTGCCGCAGGGCTAGTATTTGCCCAGACTACCAGCCGCACGTAACCACGTGTACCGCACGTCGATACCTCATCCCTTTCACACCTGTCTCCCCCTCCCATCTTCCTCCCAGCTCCTCTCGCAGGCAGGCAGCCGCTGATGTGCGCCCGGCTAGCGGTACCGCCAGAGAGTTCAATGACCTCGTGTGACACGCAGACTTTGTCAACTTCCAGACGCGCCAGCTTTTGGAAGCAACGTGTGCGGGAATGAATAAAATATTCAGGAAGGCGGCTGGCGTGCAATCACGGTCTTACGTACGTAGTAGACTGGGCAGGCAGGTAGCCATGCGGATATGATAGGGTTAACAAGCGAAACGGATGCGGAAGAAAGTAAAAAGGAGAAGGAAGAGGAAAGAAGGGGAGGGGGATAAAGGGGGAAAAGAAAATATAGAGGAAAAGGAGAACGAGGATGAAGAAGTGAGAAGGTGGAGGAGGAGGACGAAGAAGGGGAGGAGGAAAAGGAGAAATAGAACGAGGAGAAGATTGAGAAGATGATGAAAAAGAATATGAAGAGGAAGAAGGCGAAAAGGAGGAGGACGACGAAAAGAAGACACGTACAAGATAAAACGACGGGAGGAAGTGGGAAGGGACACAACGAGAAATAAAAGAAGAAAGGTGAAGATAAAGACGAGTAAAAGGAAACGAAGGAGACGAGTGGAAACAGAGAAGATGCGAAGTAGAAGATGGAGATAGAGAAGACAAGGAGAGCACTAGACACATTGTAATAAATTTCCCTGAATGCATACTCGTGTTTGCAACCAATTCCATTCGCGACTCTTTACTCTCGTGTTCCCACTTCATCGTAATTTACCGTTTTATGTTTTCAGCCCACTACATACACGTATAATTACACAATTACATTACGTATACTTCATATTGCATGTTCTTTAGGTTAAATCTGTTGTCTATTATGAGCTCTTGATATATATATATATAGATATATATATACTAAATATATATCCTAATATGTTGTGTGTGTTGCTGTGTGTGTGTGTGCTGTGTGCTGGTGTCGTGGTGATGTGTGTGTCGTGTGTCTGTGTGTGTCGCCGCTGGCGTGCGTGCGTGCGTGCATGGCGTGCGCTACGTGCGTGTGATATGAGCACAGTATCAGACAGTAGCTAAGATGTGTGAGTTTTTTTCACCAGATGAACCAGTTGGTACCTTCATACGAAAGCGTTAGAGCGATCTATAGTATGGACTGCGTGCGCGT